ATGAGTAAGTATAATATTTATCTTATTCATCTTATAAAGTATATTCATATTCTGTAAGTGTTTCTATCATATTTTATATTAATCAAATATAGAGTAAATATCGGGCATGGTAATATCCTTGTGAATATTATATATAAAAAAGTTCAATTTGTATGCACCTATTTATTAGTACTTCGTTAAGTTTTTGCGAAGTGCCAGTGTTGTGCCATTCTTACAATCCTACCTTTCATAATTGCCAAGGATGAGACATAAAATGCTGAATTAGTTCAGGCTATATTGCTTTTATATCCTTTTTTCATGCATCTTTCTGAGCCTTTTTGCCTTTCTGATTCCTTTTCTGCCTATCAGCAATAGTATCTATAAGCATAATTTCTTATTTTATTTCTATATAATTCTACCTATAAATACTACCAAATCTATACCCTAGTTTTCGCCTGAGCCTTCCTAGAATTTTTTTTCATATAGTTGCTACTTTGGGATACCCCTATACTTGATTACTTTGGGCTATTACTATATTAATCTTTCATATCCTTTTTTTGTGTATTCTTCTGAACTTTTCTGCCTTCCTGATTCCTTTCCTGCCTATTAGCGGTAGTATCTATAAGCATAATTTCTTATTTTATTTCTATATAATTTTACCTGTGAATACTACTAAATTTATATCCTAGTTTTTACTCTTGTATTTCTCGAACTCTTTCCCATATAGTTACTACTTTGGGATACTTTAGATATTACTGCATCGATTACTTTTGGGTATTACTTTTAGATACTATCACATTGATTACTTTCGTTCAGCTTGGCACTGGATGTTACTATTGTCCCAGTATTTTGCTAGCAAACATATTCGCTCAAAATTATATAAAATTTTTATTTTAAAGATTTACAGATTTTTATGTAATTTTATACTGCTTTCTTGTATATACATCATGCTTCTTATGCAAAAAAATCCTAGGCTAAACCCAAAAACAATAAATGAAGCAATCAGGCTCTTTTCTGGTTTAGCGAACCTTAACTCTGAGCCTGGCTATAATGATCATGTATATTTCCAATATTTGTCTAATAATAAAAATGATATCTCTCTTCTAGACGTCTATCATCCTGAAGATATTTATTCAAAATATATTATTCGAGTATCTGAAAAAGGTTTTGAAGTAGTCAATTATTTATCTGAAGTTTATAGAATCCTTGATGCTCATGAATATATTGATAGAAATCTACCTCTTCGTCTGATTCTGGATATTGATGCGAGACAAAAGTCAGATCCAATGAACCCTAAGCTCCCTTTTTTAGATAAATATAAAATTACTCGCGAAGATTTATTATTCAGAATCTTAATTGCCTATGTTGATATTTTATATTCTGATTTAAACCATCTTGCAATATTAGATGCTTTTGCCTTAGCCAGTTCATCTAATACTAATAAATGCAGTTGGCATATTATATATAAATATGCATAGTTCATTGACTATAGAGACCTTAGAGGGTTTGTGAAAAAAGTTGCTGATAGAGTTGGAAAACCATACTCTGAATTTATTGACCTTAAACTTTATAAATCACATTTTAGTCTTCAGTTTCTTGGATTGGCAAAGGAAGATAGAGTTAAAAAACCTGCAGTTTCTTCAGTTAAACAAGGATATCGTAAGCTAGAAGATTATTTAGTTCAATCTAAATCTGATTATTCTAAAATCTGGCCACAAATCTTTTCTCCTAAAAAGCTAGAAAAGGATGAATTCCAATCTATCGAAGATGAAACTGCTTTAAGCAAGAGGTTAGTCAAGTTACTGTAAAATATGAATAGCTTGAAATTGGTGACATTAAAAAAGGATTTGTCAATTTCCAAGTAAAGTCATATAAAGCATGTCCTATTTGCAGAATCAAACATGAAAGAGATCAATTATATGGTTTTCTTCAAAATAACAGTCATTTTGTACTTAAATGTTATCGGCAAAATCAATATAAGTTAGATCATAAAGGACTAGCATTTGGAAAAGTATCAGGTATAATCAAGTCAAAAAAAGAGCTAAATGGGGATTGAATGATAGATTAATTAATATTGTAAAAAATCCACGTTTGCTCTCTGAATTGTCTAGAAAAAATATTAATATAAAAGAGATGAAAGAGGTTCCAGAAGCTTATCCAAACTTCTTAAGTTCTGTATGTAATACAATTCTTATCCGTTCACCTGTAGGTACTGGTAAAACAAAAGTTTTAAAAGAAATTCTCAACTCTTTAGCTGGAAATAGAGAAAATTTGCCTTGCTTTATCTGAGTTTCATATTACAAAACTCTTACCAATGAGACTAAAGCTAAAATTGAAATATTACAGAATTTAGGACTTCACATATGCCAATATCAAGAATTTGAGGGTAGTTTAGCTATAAGTAATTGGGATATTATTATTATCCAGGTTGAAAGTACATATCGTATTGAGCTTTATGAAAGGCGTCTATATATAATTATTTTAGATAAAGTCAATGCAGTTATACGCCAAATGTCTAGTGGTATTCATGTGTGAAAATCTGAAAATACTATGTAAGATTTGCTAAAGTCAGCTATTCATGTTGTGACTATAGATGCTTTTGCGAATGATTCCACTATAGCTTTCTTAAAACAATATTGAGGTAATGATATATGAATTTTTGATAATAAATATCAACCATATATAGGCGAAACTGTTAAGATTCTTTATGATCTGGACAAAAGTTCAAAGGCTATGAGAAGAGGTCTTAAGATGCTTCAAGAAGGCAAGTGTGTTGCTTTTGCAATGCCATCATGTAAAAAAGCTCGAGCTTTAGAAAACTAAGCTTTCGCATTGCAAAAACTAGATGATTCACCTATTTTAACTCGTATTTATTTTGGCTAAATAGATGGAATGTAACGATAAGAGGATTTAACTAATATTAATGCTATCTGGAGTTCTCTTGACTGCGTGATTTACACAAGTACTATAGAAGTTGGCATCTCCTTTGAAATTCCTAATCATTTTAACGCTATTATAAGAATTAGTAATATTAAAACAGGAGTACATGTTGAAGCTTTTGCACAGATGCTTTATCAAATTTGGGATTGTCTACAACGTATAATTTCTTTATATAATAGTCAGAAGTCTTTTGAAATATTTTAAGAGCCAAATCGTAATCTTATTTGTGCTGAACTTTCTGCTTTAAGACCTATTGATTACCAACAGCAGTAAAAGGGCATCAGAAATAGGATAAAATTGCTGATTATTATGCTCTTGATGTATCTCCAGCGGTCAGAACATATATTGAGGTTGAATACCAGAGACACTTATCAGCAAAGTACTTTTCTGAAATTCTTTGCAGTCTTGTTTTTAGTACGGGAGCTTCACTTGAAATTATTTCTACAAAAGGTACTATAGCTGATAGGAAAATGGTTTCTAATATTATTAAGGCAGTTGAAGAAAATATTAAAGATTCTGATGTAGAATTAATAGTCAATGCATCTGATATCACCCCGGATGATACTGAAGTTCTTAAACAAATTCCTACCTGCTTGTTTACTGATAATATGATATTATAATGACACTATTTATAGAGAATATACGCTTCAGGAGATATTGGAGATAAGGACGATAATCAGGACTGAAGCATAGATGATGCCAAATAGATTAATCTATGCAATATCAGTTTTGTAAAAAAATTTAATAATCCTAAACCTTTACGACACTTTAGAAAACTGGCATATTTCTGAAAATAAGGTTCAGATTCAATAAAAGTTTTAGAAGTGTTAAAAACTAAAGAAACTATACAGTAGAAGGAATCGCATAATTCTTCAGATTCATCTTCAATTAATTTATGAAATGCATATTTGTTTAAACAGTGGAAGGTGATACAGAAACTTTTTTAAATATTAGGCTTTACTGGTATTAATGATATACGTACTTTTTCAGGTAATATTATTTCAGAAGCGTTTGCTCAATCGTGTGAAAGATTTATGGAAATTCAAAATCAATCCTTATTGCTCTTTGAATTTAAATCTCGCGTAAAAGAAATACCAGATTTTAAATCGGCTATACAAGCAATTAATGCAATCACTGGTAATTGGTGCAGATATACTGTTAAAAGTGATAAAAAAAGAATAGGGCCTAAAGGACAACAAGTTTGGCAATATTCATATCAAATTAATCGCCGGCCATATAATGGTACTAGTTTTAGAGATAAAGGTGTTTCAGAGCTCCTATCATATAGGCTGAAAATAGATAATAATATTCAGAAATTCTTTGATTCTATAAGATAGGAAAAATAATACTTTAGTCAGATTATTATTCAGCTAGGTGTCTCGATCATGTCTGATTTCATTTTTAACTTTTTTACCTTCACGTCAGGTATGATTATAAATTCTACCATGTGTGTTACAGATTCCAGTCTTGGAATAGGTTCGCTCATTACAGATAGGGCATATTATTTTAGGACAGGTTTTAAAATGTATGGAGCATCCTAAATTACTCATGCACCCTTTCCCACAAATTAAACTATCTCTCTTGATGTATTGACAGATAAAATGACCTATATGAGGTAATTTTGATATTAATAATCTTAAAACTTCATCTTCACATTTATTATAGATATTCATAATTCCTTTGCTTTAGCGGGTCAGTTTAGTAACCATATCTTCAGCCAAAGTTACAAAATCTACTCACTCTTTTTGTGATTCTCTAGCCAGTTTTTCTTATACATCATACGAAAGCCAGTCTGAGAATGGATTGGCTTATTACAGGATGTGCACATTTTATTTGGTAGAGACTTATAGTGTCTGATATATCTGCTTTTACGAAAGTATCTTTTCTCGCAGATAGACCCATTATCTTTCTTATTTAAGCAAGGCCAAGTTAGATAATTCTCGTCTTCTGAATCAGATATGTATTTACCAAAGAGACTAAAGGGCATAGTACTTCTTTCTGGAAAAGTTTTTAAGATTAATATACATTAAACTTATCTTTATTTTTATTATAGATATTCAAAAATATATTATACCAGTCTGCGAAGCACTTTAATGGTGAAGCATAAGCTATATCATCTTTATTTTTTTTTTATGTCTCTCTAGCCAGTTTTTCTTATAAACAGGTTTAGCATGATCTGTACCAAAGTCAGTCTGGGAATATGTCAGCTTATTATAAAATACATATCTTTTTTTAGATGGTGACTTATAATGTCTGACATATCCAGCCTCGTGCAAGCATCTTTTTCCGCAGATAGATCCATCTTTTTTTATATATTGGCAAAACCAAGATGGTAAATTAGAAGCGATCTTTTTAGATTCTTCTGAATCAGCTGTATTTCCACCAAGATTCATAGTACTTCTTTTTGGTAAAGTTATTAAGATTAATATACGTCAAACTTCTCTTCATTTTTTATTATAGATAGATCTGATAAATATTCAAAAATATGACACGTCTTCTGAAGAAATGGGAATTATTTTTTATTTTAAAGATTTGATTTTCTTAATGTACATATACCAAAAAAATTCTACTAATCTACTTATCATTGATATGGCTACTAAAGCAACCGCTTCAAAGACTCGAAAACCTAAAACTAATAACTATACTGCTGTCTTAGAGCAGTTCTTAGAAAAGCATAATCTGTCAGCTGACTCCACTTCAGAACAATTAAGCAAAACTGCTTCCAAACTTGATGCTTTGCTTCCTGATTGGATGGCTCGTAAATGTATTAAGGTAGCTCTTATTAAATCTAAATATTTATTTAGTAAAGAAAAAATAGAGACTCTCTTACCAGACAAAAGAAAGGGAAAGCTTACCATAGAGGAAAGGGCAAAATACTGTACTAAGGCCAGTGATTTTGTAGACATTATCGCTAATCATTGAGCAGTGGGTCTGAAAAATAAAGATGAAAAGGAGATCATTACCAGTGTCTTACACCAGTCAACATTCTGTATGAAGTTAGCAAAAGGTGATATAGATCCTGCAATTATTGAAGAATTTACCAAAGACAAGGATCTTATCCAAGATTCTAATAAAATTCAGAAAGAACAAACTAAAAAGTGAATGGCTAATCCAGACAGAAATTCCCATACATTTCTCCTTAACAAATGTGAGTAAAAGAATTCAGAATATGGATATTTCCAAAATTTCTACTAGAGAGAATCTTGCAGATATGATAGTGATGTTGAGTATGAGACCTGCGGAAGTAAGATCTCTCTAAATCAATTATTATGAACTGGACTCTTCGAACATTCCATTATGGTATAAAGAAGACTATTCTTGATACTATACAGGTTATTTAAAGAGTAGAGGAGAAAAGAAGAAGAATCCTGATCCTCAGCCATTTCTTTCTATGGAGAAGAATCCAAAACGTGCCAGAAAATTACTCACCTGGATTCAAGATGCAATTAAGGCTAAAAAGTTATCTGACCCTATCTTTACTAAAAGTGGAACTCGTAATGCTTGACCATTTAATGAATTCTTGAAGCAAGAACCTTATAGAACTATACCTAAAAAATTAAGAGATTATGGAAGTAAACACGCTTCCAGAATTCATGATGGTAAGAATCCAACTCCTCAACATCTTAAACTGCTTTCGAGAATCGCATTAAGGCAAGAATCTGACCATCTTGATGCAGGTGATAATTATGCTATGGGTGATACTGAGTTAGAAGACGATGGTCCTGAATCTGGCCATAAATCTGATCATGAATCTGAATCTGTTCCTGAGGCAAATGGTTTAAAACCCCAACCTGACCCTCAAAAGTCTCAGACTATGGAAATGGATTCAATGTTAGCTGAAATTGATGCAATGTTAGCTAAAATTCAGAAATAAATTCCTCACTTATGCTTTAGTACTGCGGGAGATAAGCCAGTGTTTAGTGAAATATTTTTTAGAGTTGATATATAAAAATAATTAGAAAGCTTTTCTTCTTCGATCAAAGATCTTTAGGAGGAATTGCCATATTTGTTTCAGGGGCTTCATGTTTTGTAATGATCGTAACCTTAACTGGGAGTATAGTAGTCTTTTTGTGACATATGTTTGAAAAGGGTTATAACATAAAGATAAGGTGAGATAGTCTTTTTATCTGCTATGGCAAGATCGAACAATACTAATTAATTGGTATTATACATATCTTTTCATCATTGATCCTGATTTATTCGTGATCTTCATTCTGTGATGCTCATTTCCGAAATATCCATTTCTGAGATGCTCATTTCCGAGATGTTTATTTCTGAGATAAATTTTCTCGGGGTAGGCTAATTTCGTTTTAGTCTTGATATATGAAAAAAATATTTATGTAGGGAAAAAAGGATGAGAAATCTTCTTTATGATTTAACAGCATGACTAGCGAACTACTAGCAAGTTCTTCAGAAATTCATGCGAATGATACAAAGATTTTTCAACTTAAAGCACTTTCGTTAAATTTTCTAAGAAATACTTCTGAAATAACTGATGAACATATTCCGAAACTTAATCCTTGCCACTTCTGCAATAAAGAAATTCTTACCTTACCCTTACCACTTCATTCATTCACAGTATTATTATGTGGACATATATACCATCAAATATGTTTTGAAAAACATATTGTATGATCAGAAACACGTTTTTCCTTATGTCCTATTTCTAGTTGTATATCACCTATCGAACTTATTAGGGAGGAACTTTCACTAGCTTCTGGTAAGTATCACATAGTGTCTAAGAATAAGGATTTCAGAAAAAAAGACCCCTTAAATGATGATACTATAGAAGACGAAGATTCTCTTGCAGGTCAGGGAGGAAAGAGAACCGAAATTACTACGTATGATTAAGCGACAAGTCCAATTGCATATGTGAAAGAGATACCAGAGCTATCAGATATCATCGATGATGCTGAAAATGATGATGATGGGAATAACAATCATAGTTCTCAAATAAGGTAGGTAATGAAGTAAAAATGGAATATGTAGTAATCACACTCACCTTTCATTCTGTTCATTCCCTGAAATCTATGATTGAAGGATGAATAATTCGACTAATTAAACAACTAAAGATGACATTGCTAATACACAAATTCGATCATCAAGAGAAATATCCTCAAGAACCAATCGTGAACAGGAAAGATTTCGAGGATTATTACATGAATTATCTACATCTATTAAGGGGGAGACTACTGAAACCAATAATGAGGATGAGGGTTCTGGGAGTTCGATCTTGCAGAATTTAGCTCAATTATTCCAAAAAGAAATTAAGGCTGAAAAGCGTGTAACTCAAGCTTATCAAGAGGAAATTCACTGTTGGTACTACTATGCTGAACGATTTGAAAAAAGTGTTAAGAATGTTAAAGATAATGATAAGAGGGTTAAAGATCAACAGGTTAGGATCCAGGTATATAATGCAATTTTAAAACATCTTTCAAACATTACAAAAGAAAATTTACGTAAGAAGACACAGAAGGTAGAGGTGTGATTCTGTCAAGTCCGGATAATCCAGATTGCATTTAGTCAAAAAAATTGAATCCGTATGTGGATCCTTATCCGTTCAAAAAAAAAAAATCCATCCGTATAATTATATGAATTATCCAGATTATGAACAAATAATCCGTAATTTTCAGATTTGAACGGATTTGAACGGATTTTGACCGTTTGATCAGATTACTTTAGTACAAAGCATCTTTTTGTCACACTTAAATAAAATTTTTTTTTTACGTTCTATTTTTTTAATGTTTTAGCTTTATTACTATTACTATTATTATAAAATTTACATTAGCTATTATATTATCTGCTATACATATTTACACAATATTAATTACTTGATTTTCAGGTGGTTTGTGTATACTATCCAAAATATTATAATTCCTTTTTAAAAACATTATTCTTTTAAAATACTCTGAACTAATACGTGTTCTTTTAGAATCCATTAAATTTCCACAATCTGAAAACAACCATTCACTAGGAGTTGAAGTAGCACATACTAAAAGGTAAGCGCATTTCAGTTCACTCAATATTGGAAACCTTTCTTTGTTAATTCTCTACCAGAAAAATGGATCAGTATTAAATGGTACTTGTGAAATAGCAAGGTATTCGTCAAGTTCATTTTGGCTAACAGGTTGTTGGCATTTAAAAATATCAAAGAGTGTCGACTGGTAAAGTGTAGATAGTGTTAGAGTAGTAATAAAAGGAGCAGAAAGAGCAGGAGGTGTAGGAGATTGGGGAGATTGTGAAGGTGAATGTAATAACATACTAAATTTTATGTCATCATATTTCTCTTTTAAAGAATAAAGAGTCCGTTCCATTTCATAAGGTGCAAAATCAAGCTTTTTAATTTGAGGATCAAGTATTGATGGTAAGTATGATATTTCGCGATCTTCTTTCCAATAAAAAAGCATTGCTTGATACAATATACTTTTTACTGTTTTTAACATTCCCGAAGTTTGCATAGGTTTATCTAAATTTATTTTTTTCTGACACTGTTTTTTATTATTATTAGCATCAGCTGGATTATCTTAATTTTTGTCTAATATGAAAATATCTTCCAAAGTTTTGATATCAATATTTGTATTTTCTTCATTAGGATTAGGGGTGAGCTTTTTAATAATTTCAGCTATTAAAGGCTTCATTATACTATGAGTAGAATAATTACTACCTTCAAGATACCTAGTCGCTTCCTCAAAAAGTCCCAAAATCAGAATTAGGTTACGAAGTAAGTCCCATTCATCGTTTGTAAGCATAATTTTCGTTAATCGTTGAGAATCCTTTTTGGAATTTTTATCAGTTTTCTCAGCCAAATTAGCTTCTAATGTACAAATATATCCTTTTAACTCTAAAAGCCGACACCAAGCCAAGTAACTGGAATTCCAGCGGGTTGATACATCAACAATGACGTGTCTTAAATATGTTGTAGTTTTCCAGTATCCTATAAAAGTAAAATAAATACATTTCATAAAAATTTATTAATAAATATAATTAAAAATAAAACTTACTATAGGTGGTCTCGAAGATTATCCTGAATCCTAATATTAAATTTAAAATTAAATAAACTTTATAACAGAATATGAATAAATGCACAATAAAATTAATAAACAATAACCCGTTCATTTACTGGCTGCATAAATCGTCTTTGGATTTTTTCAAGGCGTTCTGATTGCTTTAGTCTTAAAAAGAAATCGATGAAACGTTTTGCACGTCCAATTAATACCTTAATAGGATTTAAGCTTTTTCCTACTACAAGCTGCAAAGTGTGTGTACTGCAGGGCTGCTATAAAATGTTATTTGTTATTGATTCCATATCTTTGATAGCCTTTTGCATATTGGATCCGTTGTCTGTTGTTATTATAAAAACTTTATCTTGAAGTTTCTACTTATCGAATACTGCAAGTAATGAATCTTCAATATTTTCTGCAATATGAGGATAAGAAATATATTCAACTGAAAGTACAATTTCGTGAAGTTGAAATTCAGGATCAAGATATGAACATGTTATTCTTAAAAATCCTTGGCGGTTTCTTCCTGTCCAAAGATCACAAGTTAAGGATACTGAATTAGCATCCTTTTCTAATCTTTTTATGATTAATGGCAACGAATAATTATATGCCTGATGAATAAGCTTTTTCATATATTTTGGATTTGGAATTTGAAATCTTGAATCCAATTGAGAAATTAATCTTTTAAATGCTGGATTTAAAATAACAATAAGTGGCTGAGAGCCACATATAATCCAATCTGCAAGATACTAACATAATTCAAGCTGACGCGATTCTTGATGATGAGTTTTTTTGGAAAATACTTTTACAATGTTCTGATTTCAATTTGCATCCTTTTTTTTAAAAAAAAAAACTTTTTAATTATTATATTTATAAAATTAATTAACGTTAATTATTGAAAATACACTTACAACATTAGCTTCCTCTTGCTCCTTAGTTATTCCATGAATATTTGCAAGATGTTCAGAGCAATTACTAGTAGATGTACCAACCTTATAGGTTTTTTCACATTTCTTTCTAACTATTATTGCTACTTGACAAACTGCATACCTTACTCCTTCTTTAAAACCAGGTTCAAAGTATTTCCAGATCCAACTTCTAACTTTACTTCCTCCACAGATTTTATTTAGCTTAACCTTTTTATGGTTTGGTTGCTCTAGTTCAGTGTCACTATTATCATTATGAGGTTCTTCTACTTTATTAACCATTATTTTTATTGGTTCAACGTGTTTAACAACATGAAAGAATTCTGCATTTATTCTACATTCTTTATATAGTAACTAATTACAATTAAATTTACATTTCAGGAAATTTTTATACAACATATACGGTACAATCAGTACTATAACATATATATTACTATTCATCAGATCAACAGATTATACGGATAATTTAGTGAAAATCTGTTTAAAGTTTTTAAATCCGTATATTATTTGATCAAAAATAATCATATCCGTACTGTAATTTAATCCGAATTTTGATCGGATGACCGGATTTCGAATGAACAGATCACACCTCTAATAGAAGGTAAGAAATATTTTCGAATTGTTCAGTAAAATAGGGATTAAAAAAGTCAAGAGGGTTCAATCCTATAGTGCGGATAATATTTCAAAGCTTACAGGTACTCAAATCAAAAGTATTATATCTTATTTTACTCGGGAACCATAAATTCTTTGCAGATTGCATGAATTATAGTTCATGCTACATGACTACTGCGCTATATATCAAAATGTTTTTTTAGTTTATCTTTGCTATTTCTTATGATTAATAAATAAAATAGTTTGCGAGTCGTTTTAACCAAATGTATACTGTATATTGGTGATGTGATGTTACTTTATTGCAGGACTCGCCAGAAAGATTTTATCATAAAATTAGCTGGTAGATCCCTGTTAATCACGAAATATCTACACAGTCTGTATTAAAATCATCTTATACTCCGAATTTCTAGCGATCATACCTCTGATTAGCTATTATATGATCTCGAACTAATTTAACCAAATTATGCCATTGGAAAATCCCTTACATACATGTGAATATGTACATAGCTGGATGTGAACCTTATATAAACCCTCGATATACTTGTAATCGAATAAAAATAAATCTGATATTTTATTATAATATACTTGCTACAAACTGCTAAAATTCTTTAAAAACATTATAATCGATAAAATCATT